TAGAAAACTTGTGGGTTGAGATTAAAAGAGTTTAATAAGTGAAGGAAAGAGGAAGAAAAAAATAAGTCATCAAATCAAAGGCACCTCCCTCAAGTAGACTGATGCCCAACCAGTCTCCAAGCAATGGCTAACTCTCAAACTCTTCTCTCATCAGTTTTTATTGATGATCATGATGTTATATAACACGGAATATCTGTGTGGTCCCAACTTCTCCCCTCCCAACTTCTTACCACACCCAGCCTCCTCTGGGAAGACAGAGTGGGAAACACAGAATGTTCTGATGCTGTGGAAGCACTGTTTAGGAACAAATAAAACACTGGTGTATTATCTGCACTGTTTTAGTCACCAATATAGAACACAGTGTCATATAGGCTGTTATGAAGACAATTGACTTCATACCATCCAGACCCAGTACAATTCAGCAGTGTTTTTTTAAAATGTTTTCTTTATATTTTGATTCAACCATTGGTTAAGATATCCATCTTGCCCGTCATCCATCTGATGCCTGTACATTTTATCTTTAAAGGTATAAATTAGGTATAACTCAAGTAAATCAGTGAGGAATAATAGTGAAAACCCAGGTGACACTTTTGTCTGTGAAAGATTCAAAATTCATGTATTTATATGCACAGAGCTTGGGCCTTTTTGCAGTATATTAATTTCCTTGTAGTTATACTGCGCAGCATTCTTTACAAGATGATATTTTGTCAGTACATGATACAATCCAAAAGCTAATTAATATTTTGTATCTGATTCTTCTGAATGCTTATAAAAAAAAAATTCAAAAAGCTGCAGAAATGTGAGCTTCATGACTGTATTTACACTTTTTATACAGCAACATATAAAACATTAATATTCACTTTAAAAATTGATACATCTGTCAATAAACTATCCTGATTTGTACAGCAACATATTAGTACATTGAAAAACATATACATTACAGAAAGCTTATAATAAAAAAATAAAATCATTATCTTTCTCTCCAATAACATTTCACTATTAAGGAAAAGTTGGGAGAGAACATATGATGCTGAAATGATGAGAAACCTAGATCAGAATAATCATTTGTTCAGTTATTACTATGAAAAATAGTTTTTAAAAATGCATAAATGTATAACATTCCTTAATGTAACATCAGTGTCATCACCTATGGTTCCAAAAGTCCTCTGGAATGTTTTTTGATATAAGTGTTGATAATCCAGACCATATTTGTAATACAAGTCTTTCATAATTATCACAGAAAATTTTTTGCCAAACTAGTCCTTCACTGCAAATAAGTCAACAAAAAGCAGTATTTCCAATGATCATATGGGAGAAATTTGATCTCTAAAAGTAAAAGAACTAAAACCTAAAAAAAAATAATAGTTTTTCTATAGCCAAATGAAAAAAAGAAGAAAGTTGGGAAACTAGGGGTATGCTTTTAAGCCTTCTAAGAAAATGCATAAATTTTATCTCCCAATTGAAGACACTGGGCAAGAATACAAGAAAAATTCTGAGGTCTGAGTTAAATGACTATTAGGTACAGAACCTGTATATTGCAACAGAACTGTGGATAGATTTAAATGTAGTTGTTGATTATAGAGCTGTATTATTAATTATCTATTATGTAACTGAAGAAAAGTTACTATTATTTCTTCAATAAGTGTTTTTGTGTAGCCTTATACCATTGGTGGTTGGATCATAAAGTACTTCAGATAACGTGTTTTGCCAAACTCATATTTTAGATCACAGGGTACCTTGTCCAATGCTTTCTTCGTTCTTTTTTTTTTTTTTTTTTTTTTTTTTTTTTTTAGGGGTTTCATCATTTTCTCTGTGGAGATACTTAGAGCTCCTAGACCAACTTCTAGTAATTAATTGTTGTTTACTTTTCTTCTGACTCTGTTGTCTTGCAATTTTTTAATTATCTAATTGTTTTTTTCTTGTCTGATATGTCATAATTCAGTAGTACCTTTCACAGGGCCTAAATCTGCTCTTCATTATACTTGTGGATCAGCCTTTGAACCGCCGACCACTTACTCACAATGAACTAGCTATGAACACGTCTTTGTAACTGTCACTTCTGTATTCTCCCCTAAATACTGAAGATATCTCAAATTCTGGTTCAATTTTGTCAGAATTCAGTTTGAGTCAAGAGATAAATTTACCATGTACCTTTTTATCCTTTAGTTCCTATGTCTGGAAGGCTGAAGTGACTTTGTATCCCTTTGACAATCATATCTTTGTTTTCTGTTTTCCACATGGACATCTCTAGGTAGACATTGTACAGCTGAACAACAGAAAACATGATGATTTCCTGTAAGAGAAATCTGCCAGAACACTAATGGTAGTAGAGGCTTCATTGAAGACTGTCAGTTTTACTGCAACTGGCAGAGTGGCAACTTGGAACTGCATACTCAGTTCCACCAATTACTTTGCCAATATAGGACATTCAAAAGATGCATTTCCTAGAGCTGTCCTATGGTTCTGCTCTTCTAAGAAGATTTCAGATCCATTTCCAGGTAACTTTCACTACAAAGGAAATGTACTGCTAAGAATAATCCACCATGTGAACATACCTGCGGAGAGACTGCACTTGAAAGAGAAGTATACTTTTTAGTTATTATAGCTCTTCAACTATGTTGCTTATTTATAAATTTACTAAGCATATCACTCTCCCTCCCCTTTTCAGAATCTATCTCCTGTATACTTCTGAATTGCTAAGAACAAAATCTGTGGGCTAGTCATTAATTTTTATTATTTTATATAGTTCAAAAGATTAGACAGAACCACTGGGTACTCCTAAATCAATGTGTCCACAATGCAAATTCGCAGAGTGTGAATATATAGATGGCCAAGCATTCAAAGCATGCTACTCATATAAAATTATGATATAAGATAGCATTCAACAGTTAGTAGAAAAAGTCCATCAGTGAAACACAAATTGAGAGTTCCCGTGATGGTGTGAAATCTTGTTCAGTTCTTCACAGAGTTATTTCATTTTTTCTTGGCTAGTTACTTGCTGGAGAATTTTAGAAGAACATTTGCAGCATACCTGAGGGCAAACCTCCCAGGCAAACTGCTCACTTCTCTGGGAAGAAATCATACATACCCATTAGGGCTAAGGTCCAACTATACCTGCATTATTTATTTTTTAAAAAATGCTTGGAAAATACTATAAAAAAGAACAATGTAAAGAAAACAGCCATAGAGAAAACAAAATAGAGAGTTTGTTGTGTAAAAGTGCACAAACTGACATCTTAGGCATCTCATATTAGAGATGAAACAACTGTTCCAAAGGGAAGTTAGGAAGAAATCATAAAGCCCTGGGTGTGTTGACAATACTTTGTTGCAGAGTCAAACTCTGGGCTGAAGAGTAGCTATCCAGAGTTACAGAGAAAGGTTTTCTGAAAGAGAAATGTGGTGATAAAAGGGCAATATACATGGCAACACATCCATCTGTGGGGAGAAAAGAAGATATAAGGATAGACAACTAAGAAGAGAGTATTAAAGTAAAAGGCATAAACAGTTTCTTTTGTCACATTTTCCAGTTAGCATTTTTTCTTTGTCATATTCCCTTATCTTTTAACTGACAGAAACATTCAGATAACAAATGTAATGAGCTGTAACCAGCAAAGCTGAGTTTCTTTAGAACACCTCTTTGAGAAATCTACAGTCCAAGAACTACCACCTAGGATGCAGGGTGATACAGCTCTAAGAGTTTTGTCAGAATGAGGGAATAATATGTTTGTCATTCAGTATGAATGCCAACACCTACCACTGCCTGTGATATTGAAATTTCCTTCAAGGACAACTACACTTTAGCTTACATATCAAAACTGTGCTAGAAAAGGGATTTTATCAGCAGTCTTCCATTTTTGAAAGGCATGCATATATCTAGGCAGAAATAATTATGTATCATTCTCTGAAAATATATACTACATATTGTCCTACATGGATAGGAACTTGTTAATCATTCAAGATGACTTATTGTCACACCCATTATCAGTGTATGAAAATAATATTACAAATTTCATTTCATCTTCTCTCAACCTAAATTGTTGCAATTATTAGTGGAACTACTTTTTTTTTGTGCAAAGGCAGTGATCAAAAGTCAATAAGGATCAAGGCAAACTACATCCATGCCAGTAAATTAAATGTGCCAGGAACTACACTTTTCACTGAGGCCAACGATTATTGATCAGCCAGAATTCATGGTATGAAACATGCAGACTGCCTACTGGAAATGAGCCTATGCCTATACAAACTCATGAACCATCCCCAAGAATTATTTGGGGAAGCACAGTTAGCATGAGAATCTCTACAACCAGCAGACCCTACTACTGTTACATTTATAAATAAAGGTGCAGCATCTTATGATGAACCAATAAAAAAATCACAAAAGTAGGCATGATTGCTGACCTAATTAATCTGTAATCCAATTTGAAGTTAATCATAAGTGAATGTGATAAATAGGAAGAAGAGAGAACTGAACACCATAATTAAAATATGACAACATGAATATGCAAGCTGTAAAACTTGCTGGTCACACATTGTGCAAAGGTTTGGATTCTTGTTAGGGAGATAAGAGGGAGATGAAAGATTCATTCATCAGCTTTCTTCCACTGATGTAAAATTTAGCAATCACTGACTGGTCAATTTATTTAAAGATCATTGTAAGGTGGACTAACAGGAACAAGTTTAAGAAAAAGATGAATCCAAGAAGAAGAAAGCATGCTTCAGGATTGTAATGGAAGAAAGTGTAAAGGCAGCCATCGAAGGAACAGACAAATAATTGCTATTTCACTCTAATATCACTGGAACAAAAGGAGAAATTTGAAATATGTGGCATAGAAAGTGACATAGCAAATGACAAGTGTCAGAAATGAGAAAATCCATTAAGGTTAAGGAAAAAAAAAATAATTTCATGCGGCATAATGTGTGAAGACAAAAAGTGGCATGGTCCAAATGGTGGAACAGGAAAACAACCTTACTACTTCAGTTGGAAATGTTTGCTCAGTGAGACCATGGTAGTAAAGTAGAAAAGAAAAGACTTGGCCATGAGAATTTAGAGAGATTTCTCAGGTAACTGGGTGTCGTGGTTTGACCAGTACACTGGGAAAAATATTAAGAAAGGAAACAGTGTGGATAACAAAAGGCTGTGGGTGGGCAGGTAAGAATTTGTGGTGCCAGAGCAAAGGAATAATATGGGTGACGTGAATAAACAGCTTCAAATTGATGAAAAGAGAAAAGAGAGAGAAAAATGCATAGCAGAAAAGTGTCATTTCTGACCATCCTGTAAATGAAGCATCCACAGAGTAAGACCTCCTACAGAAACAGATCTAAGTGGTAGATACGAGGCTTAAAAAATAAGTCAGATAATTAGAAATGGGAATGAGAAATAGGGGAGAAATATAGGCAAAGGCCTGGTCAAATGTTAACAGGGGAAGGATAAAGGGAGAGAGATGGACTAAGAGGGGAAGATCTGAGGTATAAGAAGCAAATGTAATGTAACTGGTGGAGAACGCAGATAAAATACTGAGACAAACCAATGTTAGGCAAGTGGTAAAACTCATAAGCCATTTACCAATAAACAATAAATGAATCAGTAAACAAGTCAACAAAACAATTATGGATATTGTCATATAGGACAGTAAAAAGTTGCATGTGTTAATGCACGTGTCAATAAAGGGGAAAAAACAGAGACTTGGCTTGGTCAGTCAGTGACAAAGCATCTGGACAGCAGCTGAGCACCAGACACTGGGGCTGCCACTATAGTCCAACTGTACTGCACAGTTAAGGACCTATATCAATTTACCACAGTGTGGTTTGTTACATATTATAATCTATGTGCATACAATTACAAGCTTAAAGAGAACTACACAACTAAAGGCAACAATATAATCCCAGTGGATGATAAGACTGTACATAGCCTTCCGTTTAGTTTACCATTTTTGAAGAAATGCAAATTTTACATTAACTTAGGTCACAGCAATGTATCTTGGACAATCGGAATCTGTAGAACAGGTACATTACCCCAAAGAATTTAAACTTAAGAATGAGCTATAGAAAACTTTGTTCAGGCTCAAACATGAATAGTCAGGGTCTTTTGTGCTAAACATATGTGATGTTTTATTTTCCTTGGTATATTAATAAACAATCTTATCTCTAGGATGTTTTACATTTTCTTTACATTTGAAATAAATCTTTTAAAATAGAAATATTACAGAAGATTAATCAGCCTGATGTAACAGTTCTACTATTACTTGATAACTCTTTTAAGCTTATTACTTTTCTCCTTACTACTCTCTTGCAGTAGTATTACTAATTAACAGCTATATTTTTTTCCTATCTTTGCTTTCTAACTGTGTGATTTTTCAAAAGCATGTCAATTTGTAACTAAATATTAATTACCATAGTTGTGCATAGTAAAAATCCCTACAATAAACAAATTCACATTTTCCTCTGAAAAAAAATCAGTAAATATATCACTGAGATTTAATACACTTAGTAAATTGCTAATAGGTAATGTATGTAAAAACTTCTTTTTCAAATGGAGCTGAAATAAAATCACAGCCAATGTACTTTTTTTAACTCAGTTTAAAATAAAACAATCAGATTTTTGTGGAGATTTTCCTTGCATTTCTTTAAAACATTATTTTAAACAAATAATTTGATTAGATAATTTCTAAAACTATTATGACTAAAATTTGGAGATAACTAATATTTTGGAGATTAATCAATACTTATAATAAGTCATGACAGCAGTTTCAAAGATAAATATTGTACAAATGTTAATCAGCCATGAGGCAAAAATTATAGATTTAGATGAAAAAACAATTTTCACTGGATAATTTTTCAAATAATTCAAGAGCATACAAACAGAACATTTTCAAATAACTTACTAATTTAAAAACCTGCTACAAAACATAAAAGTAAACTCCTTTTCTAAGTAGTCTCAGTCAATAGTAGAACTAATTGAAAAACTATAAATTTAGTACAGTGCAGCATGTAGTCTCTATCTTGCTCTGCCTATACATCAATAGGTCATTCTCAGTTAATTAAGTGAAGGCATAATCAGCTTAATTTATGTAGTTCAGGGCAGTTAATGATATCTTAGTACAGTACCTGAACATTTGGCCTGCCCATATAACCAGCTGGATATACCCAGTTCTGTAGCTCTTCAACTTCAGCTTTCCATTTTTTATCTCAGATTTCATTTTACACAGCTTAGTCTGGAGTCGCTAAGTCTAATTTCTTGAGGCTAAAGCTGAAATAAAACCAGAACAAATTAACAGGTTAACAAAGCAATATGATCGGATTGTAGTTTGTGATAGTATTTTATGCAGAAAAATCATTTTTAAAAAGATGATAGTTCCAAATTAACTATTTGTATCATTTAAGCATGTAATATTTTTAAATAGTGTAATAACAACACACAAAGGAATAATAATAGACAAAGAGATAGGACTGAAAAGCATATTATTTTTCCCATAAATTATATAGCTTAAAAATGGCCATTAAAAGTTAGAAATTTATAGAACACACTTACAACATATAGTGTGGTATCTCAATAAGAAGATCATCTTTTTCAGTCTCAGAGAAAGTGTTTCCTTCTGCTGTCTCTGTAGCTCATCTTCTCTTTTCTGAAGCTGCAAGTTTACACACAAAGACAAACCACAATGTCAACCAATTGGACCTCACTTAAGGAACCAAGGAGATCGATTTGTAAAGCAAAGGATGAACAGGACCCCATTTCTGAAGTACGTTGCTCAAACTGCTCTTTCATTAAAAGATGCTCTCTCTTATTGATTTTGGCTTAAGTAATGAGAAAGCTTATCCAAAAATCTTTAGCATTTGGGCTCAAGTTAAGGAAATCAATAGAGTCATTTCCCATTTGAACTGCATATGTGAGTTTTATGTACGAGAGACAAGACAAAGCCCAAATCGGATAAATCGATAACATTGTCAATAGAACATGAAGCTGACAAATGACATTTTTAAGCAATTAAAGAGAGCTGTAAACACACAGAAGCTAATCAATTACAGTGTTCTGCTATTAACAGTTTTTAATTTATACAAACATTATTAGGAATCCCAGGGAATGGAGATAACAAAACATGTTTCTTGCTACTCTTTAGGGCTTATACCAGAAAGCTTTTCTTGTCTCCATATGTAAATCTTCTGATGCTCACAGGAAAAAAAATGAAATATTTAATTAATCATTGAATTCCTATACTATCATGTCTACATGTGCAATAAACACAGTGGTCACAGTCCCTGACTGCATTTTTTCACCCAACCTGGAATACAAGGGCAAATGAACTATGAAAGTATCCAGTAGCACAAGGCATAGAATCATAAATATGTTGATTACAAGGGATATCCACAGATCACCTAGTTGAACATCTCACTCAAAGTAGGATCAAGACCAGTGCTAGACTGGGTCAGCTTTAGATTTGTCTAGACAAGTTTCAAAATCACCAAAGGATGGACATTCCATCACCCAGCTTCATAAACTGTTCCAGTCCTGCATGACTCTCCTGGTGAAGCACTTTTTCTAATGTCCATACTGAAGCTTAAATTTGGGGCTTTTGTCTTTTATTATACCAAATGTTACTACTAAGAAGAGTCAGCTCCATCATCCTTGTAATTCACCTTCAAATTTCTCTGACTGCTATTAAAGGCCTCTTTAGCCTTTCTTCTGCCAGGCTAGGCCATCTCTCATTGAAGATCATGTGCTCCAGGTCTCTAACTGTGTTATAATCTTGAGAGTCCTCTTTTGGACCCTTTCCAGTTTTTCAAAGTCCCTCTTGAACTATAAGGCCAATATGAACAAAATACTCCAGTTACAGCCCCTTTCAGTGTGAAGTATAAAGGATTAATAACTTCCTTTGACATATTCTCCACACTCCTTCCCATGCAGCTCAGTTTGCCTTATTTGTGATGATAGCATTTCATTCATATTCAGCTTGAAATCCACTGTAACTTCTTTCAGCAGACTTGCTATTAAGTCAATTATTATAGTTCCCAGGCTGTACTGATAACTTGGTTATTCTGTCTGAAGTGCAGAACTTAGCACTTCTCCTTTTAAACTTTTATTAGGTTTCTGTTGGTCCACCTGTAAATTTCTCAGTGTTTTTCTGTCCAGCATATCACTGAACCTTCCCTTCCCAGTTTAGCCTCATGTGCAAATTTGATGAGGATCCATTCCATCTCACTATCCAGATCATTGATGAAAATAACTGAATAAGAAAGGCTGCAGTATTGACTGGTTGTCAACTGGAAGCTGAGCCATTAATTACTATCCCCTGAGTCCAAATACCTGCTCATTTGTCAATCCATCTACCAACCCATTCATCCAACACATTAATCTCAGTTTATAAATAAAAATACAGTTGAAAAGGATGTCAAAAGTCTTGCTAAAGTTGAGTTATATTACATAGCAGGTTCTCCAGTCCGTGTAACCAATCATTCCAACACAGAAGGCAATCAGATTACTTAGTCATGATCCCCATGCTGACTCTTCAGGTGCAACAAGTGTATTTGTGTGGAGGTTTGAACTCAGCGGGCAGCCAGATGCCATGTAGCCGGCCATTCACCTCCCCCCTCCACCCTCTGGTAAGATAGGGGAGGGACAAAAGAAGAGAATTCGTGGGTTGAACAAAAAGAAAGAATTTACTAAATATAACAAGAGAACAAGAGTAACAATAGTGAGTTCAAAAAGAAAACGGGTAAAATGCAACAGTGGCTTACTGAATGCAGCGACTGCCCCCCACAGCAACAATACCGCCTGACCAGCAGTCCGCATGCTGCAAAAAACCCTAGCAGAAAACCGAGAGGGGGTGAGCAACCCGCCCACCTGGGCATGACATCACATGGTATGAAATACTCCAATGAAAATTAACTCCATCCTGGTCGAAACCAGGACAATGAGCATAACTTAACACGTGCAACCTTTCCTCATAACAGAATTCTCAAAAACTGAAGGCACATATTATACCTGAATATCTTAGCCAAAAATTGTTGAGTCTCATCAGCAATAAGAGCAGTATTTAAAGAAATGAGAGCTCTTGAAATGACCATATGCACACTAACATAAAGCTTGCACTTATACTTTGTTACTTGAAGGCAGCTTCTTTTCCTTTTCCTACTCACAATAGACTATATTCATATTGTTCAATTGCCTATGCTCAGCATATACATACATAAAGCAACAGCATTTCTATTCCTGTTCATCTAAAGAAATGTACATCTGGAAACATAAAAGAGCTTTGAAAGAGAAAAGCAGACAGAAAACTTGTACTTTTTGACCCAAAATCTCAAAGACTTTCCTTCACAGGTATGTAACTTCTCTTTCTTCTATTGAAAGTCCAAATGTACATTCACACTTTAGATAACTCCAAGAAAATGCTTAATCAACTACCTAGTGGAGCGGTGTTGGAGCACTTAAAGCAATCAGCAAACGTAGAACCATATTGGCCCTCAGAAACACAAAATATTACTGGATTTGGTGATGGTATGACAGAAAATGAAGAAAAATTTTCCCAACAATGCCAGTAATATTGCCTGACCTCTAGTGGATTATGCCCTGATTTTGTTAGGGGGACCCATTTCAGCAGTTTCATAGCAAAACTCAATTCAGGCCACTATCCATTTGCACAGCCATTGAGTAGAAATGGCTCAATTTGGAAAATGAACAGCATAGGAAATTTTCTGATGTCTGTGGACCTTTGAAAATCAACAGTGTTTTTGATTATATATATCTATATATATAAATATACTATATAATATATGATCAAGAAGGACATAGCATAGCCTGGAGTATGCCCACTTACTGAAGGCACATGACCTTGCACATGACAGTGAATAAAACATGTAGCAAAACTAAGCCCTAAAGAGAAGTATATAAAATATAGTCTGTTTGTTCATCATTATATTCTGGGATTCCTCTTAAAAAAAAAAAATCTGATAAAATTCATATTTTCATGAATATATGAAAAGTAAATTCTTATTTCAAAGGTACCAATTTCAGGAAGGAAAACTGGAAGCTCCATTTAACTGTTATGAAGGTGGAGAAATTTTGGCTACATTAGAAGAGAGATTCTCCCTCTGAAAGACAGCTGCAAGAAGGGTCATCCTTTATATAGCTGAATTTGTCCTCCTTTTAGCACCAGTAATGGCTAAAAGAAAGCAGCTTTCATGGCTAGAGGAAGAAATAAACAGGTACTTAATATGTCGAAAGGGAACTCATTAATATCTATAGTTCTAATTTTGAATCCCACTGAACCATAGGATCTCTAAAGGCAGATATTTTAAAACACTCCTCAAGAAATATCTGAACTGCTGGATGACAAAAAATGTAGATGTCTGATCAATAGACAGTGGTAGATTAAAACAGACCTTAGGTGGACATTGGAAGAGTTGAGTGAGAATGGACTATTACCAGTTTAGGCAGATGACTCAAAATTGTGGGAACCTAAAAGGAAAAAGAGAGAAGAGCACATAAAGCTGTGAACAAATCTGCAAGAAAGTTGTTTCTATTCTTGTTAGCACAGACTATGTTCTCATGTATCTTGTGAAGGAGATGTACCTTTTAATTGTCGTTGTTGGCCAAGAGGTCAATGAAAGATTTCAACAAGCAAAGAAGCTCTAATGACTATTGACTCTCTGGTCACTTCAACAAACTCTATGATCTGTAAAGAAATATAACTTGACTTTGAACATTCAACTTCACACCCAGATATCTGAAAAGAACCTCTACAGAGCTGTGAGTGTGCAGAGTGAGTCTTGCTCTGTTAATCTCTTTATTGACCCCTTGTTTAGGCAGGCATCAAGGGACACCTTTATAGTCAGTGTTTGTGAGTAATTATTGTTAACATCTGTTGAAAACTAACAGTGTAAAAGGAAGACTAAAATGAAATACCGTGAAAGGATAACGATCACTGCTGAGAACAAAATATGAATATATGAAATATATAAATAAATATATTTAGGATATCAAGAGCTGTAAAAGAGCTTTCAATACTTCATAGGGTTTTTTTCTGTATTTTTTATTCGTTCATTTTTCTCTTTGTTGTTTCTATATTCTAATTTTTTATTCTGTGTTAGTTTTTAGTCTCAATAGAAAGAACTTTGAATAATTTTGACATCTTGACCATGAACTGGAAGATGAAATGTTTTAGCTTTCTTATATCCAAAATGGTTTGTTAACTTCCTTCTCCTCTGGCACCAAATATATATTCACTGAAGAAGACTCTTATGAGGTGTATAGGATTAAATACTCTGAAGATTTAGAAGTATAGGAATCATCAGTGGCCTCCATCACTAATAGAAGTAAGGTATATAATGCAGTCTCTTTTCTTAAAGAAATCAGAAAGATGTCTACTGTGGCATGAAATCGTGAACATACCATTAATAGGTAATGCAAAAATTAAAGCGGTTCTTTAATCTTTAGTGATAGAATGAAAATTTAACATCAACTTCTAAAGCTACAACAGAAAAAAACAAACAAACAAACAAACAAAAAAAAAAAACCAAACAAAAAAAACCAACCTGCAAATGAAAAAAATATTTTAGCTGCTCCTGAATGTTATTGCCCTAAGAGCAAAGCAGACCCTCTGCCACCCTGCAAATGAAAAGGCCATGGTCTTAGCTGAGGATGAAAACATTTCATCAGCTAGGTTTCAAGGTTACTTTCTCTTTATACACATTTGTCTAGCCTAAAATGAGCTTAAGATGCCTGTAGCTCATGCTGGTCTCCGTAAGTTGGACAAGTATCAAGCACTGGACTGATACTATATCACATACGATCAAGAAGGACATAGCATAGCCTGGAGTATGCCCACTTACTGAAGGCACATGACCTTGCACATGACAGTGAATAAAACATGTAGCAAAACTAAGCCCTAAAGAGAAGTACATAAAATATAGTCTGTTCATCATTATATTCTGGAATTCATCTTAAAAAAAAAAAAAATCTGAAATACTTTGGCTTAGCTCTTTTTCCCCACCTAAAAATACAATTCACCAGAACATAACAACCCATGGATGACACTGATTTTTTTCTGTTTTTCTAACAGCTCTAAAATATTAAAAACTTAAAGACAATAAGCCATCCATGCAATTCCCACTGCACACAGGACACAACCAAATTGAAAGACTGACTGAAAAGTTATGAGGTATTTGTGAAAGTATTCTTTCTCAATACACTTTCATATGGGAGACACTGTACAAGACCAGACAACAGTAAGTAAAATTAATAATGTCAAGAAATATTCATATGTTTAAAATTAATGACTGTTATCAGCTTCCAGTTATTCAGGGAGGCCATTTCCTTGATCCAGTGAATGTCTTCTTTTAATCTGTCTCCACCTCCTTACCAGCTATTTTCTACTATCTCAAACTGAGACTACAACTCTAACCTCTGACTGCTGTAGTTAACTACTTCAGTTAGCATAGTTAAGTTCTTCCTTGAATCTTCTCAGGACAGAGAATGAGAATAAAATGAGAAGTTTACAGAAAACAACAAAACGAGGAGTTTACAAAATCACGTAGGTACACCTCAGTGCAAATCCAGCCAACTCCAGGAGGAAACACTGCTCCTCTTAAGGCAGAGAAGCAGAATTCACTTCTCTCACACAGCTTGGTTTTCTTGAGCATGCAGTTAACCCTTTTATGCCTTTCTTCCTTATCAATAAATTCCTGACAAGATTTTCTTAGATGAGAGGGCTCTTCTGTAACAGTATCCATGAACAACTGGGAATGCACTCAGATAAAGTAAGACATTTATAATCCACTTTTTTGAAAATTTAGTGCACAGTATATGACTTCTGATTCCTCATATTAAGATTCTGTAATGGTCGAATTTCACAGAAGTTTGTATCAATATGGAATTTTCAATTCCTCTTTTTAGTATAGTCCACAGAATTTGAAAGATAAAGTGTGATTAAGCTTGTTAGAAAACTTCTCGAAGGCAAACAGATGAAGACAGGAATTCCTGATCCATTCGAAATTACCAAAGGTCTCACTGAAAGCCTGAATTTAACTTTTTATTCTTATTTCAGCAGCTGACAAAAGACTTCTCCTGATTTATTAAGGTTTCTTGCTTGTCTTGTTTAAAACAGAAAAAACTGTTATATTGTATATTTCACAATATAAATTAATTGGCTCAGAAAAACTGCGTTCTCCAAAGCACCTTGCCAGTTTAAGTCTGATGCTATAACTGTTAGCAAAGAGAGA